GAGGTTCTAAAATGTTTCCTTGTGTTCAGTTCCGGGTTAATTCATAATGGAAGTTTTGCGCAACGAAATTATTGTTGGCAACGATCTCCGATGTGGCACTTCTCTGGAACAACCGTCTATTAGGTGTTGTTAGGGCCAATGTGATTCTTGGTCCTCCAGGAGTTGTGTCCAAAATTTGCATCTGATGTCGTTTTTCCTTGGTGTTTCCTGGTTTTACTTCTTTAATTGTATAGTTCCTCGCGCTTGGCGAAATCCACACCCATGTGACTGACACAGCTCCAAGTCTTCGCGCTTCGCTTGCTTTGTGGGACGCCAGTCTGTATTTTGTTGGTTTCTTGCTGGGCAAGCTTATTTCCAGTAGACACTGGTTACTTGAAACAAACGCTGTCTACAATCTCTTACAACGCAAAAAGGAAGGGGAATTCGGTGTCGAGTCATGTCCAACATCTTTTTATCCCTGGATTTAAAATTAATGAAGACAAAAAATCAAGGCAATTAAACACAGAGGAACACAGATTGCAGGTGTTTGAGAACAGGGTGTTGAGGAGGATATTTGGGCCTAAGAGGGAAGACGATGGGGCGTGGAGGAAACTGCATATTGATGAGCTTAAAAAAATCTGTACTCCTCCCCCAGTATTGTCAGGGTGATTAAGTCTGAGGGGAAGAGACCTCTGGGGAGACCTAGACGTAGATGGGAGGATAATCTCAGGCGGGATCTACGGAAGATAGGAGTTGAAGGAGACTGGATTTTGTTGGCCCAGGACAGGGTCCGGTGGAGGGCTTTGGTTAATTCGGTGATGAACCTTCGGGTTCGGTAAGCCATCTAGTTAGTTAGTTTAGTGATAATAAATTACTGCACAGCTTTTTGTATGTAATCACCCCGATTTCCTGATTACTTCAAATATTGTTTCCAAAATCGACGATATTTAACGTCGACCAGACAGTGTATGAAATGATATAATATGGCGAGTTTGACTCTAAATATTGCACAAGGCCCAATTACGGTACTACTTGAACTACTTCCCTGATAAAACCTATAAATCACCCCGTCCATGGCGAACGTGATTTACAGACGAATTAAGAATTATTTAAAATATTTACAAGAGCCTGCTCACAGAGAAATTCTTCAAAAGGTAATACGAACATTATTTAGCGAAATTAATTTCTTTCTGTTGTGAATTAAATAATTAAGCCTTTTTACTAATAACTGTAATATTCACTACTAAACCCCGTGATTATTATAAAGAAATATTATGTTTGTATGTCTGTGGTTTCATTAATTTAAATTAAACTTTTCAATGTAGTTAATTCCGGTAAACTGGCAACCACATTGGACTCACGTAAATAACATTATATCCAAGTGCCAGCTTCAAACAGTTGATTGTTTCTTAATTTATCTACTGAAAAACTGTTAGGTTAAGTTACTTTGCATTCACCTGGGTTTGGTGGTCTCATAAGAACACACAATTTAGCACGTCCTTTGGCTCTCTGCTCGTACTCAAGTCCTCACACGATTCTATCCTTAACATAAACATCCGCACAAGTACTGGTATTCACTGTTATATCTCGATGTTATTATTATTAAACTTGTTTAGAATAAAATCAGTACGCATCTATGTCTTTAAAACTTCATACAGTATACAGTTATACCACACGTAATCGTCACCCTTGCCAGAGCAAACTGCCTTGCACGGGATCGAACTCAAGAAGAACAGGTTAAATTCTGCCCATTTGGTGGAGCTGCTGCATACTACGCGTCATGGCGACTGCAGTGACGTGTAGTGAACGTCCACAGAGGTGGAGTTAATGTTAATGTCAACAAGAGAAGGAATTTTATACAGGGTGATTAAAAAGTTCGTGTCGAGGAGAAAATAAATATTATACAGAGTGATTAAAGAAATCTGTATTTTTATACATACGGCCCAGATGACGCACATGATTTGAGTGCCACCGAACTGAATATTTCCATGACCGATACCTTCCTTAAACCACTTGAATCGAGTTGTAAACGTAAGTCTACAATGAGAAACATATTCGTGTTCTTGCGGGTGCACAGGGACTTTTGAAACATCCTGTATTATAATAATGTAATATGATGTGTATGGGCTCTTCATTAGTATTCTTCCTCGTTTTTCATCTCAATGCATAAAAGAGAGTTTATGACAAAGGTGGATAACCGAAGATCGATTCTAGGCAGGGGCACTACGCCCAGACCTGCTCTGATGTCAACTTAGTCTCGTATTCAGTGGGTGCCGGAGGATACTTCCTAGACTAATGTCAAAGTTAAGAATGAGTGGAACTATAGTTCCATTACCCCATACATCATCATCAAATGTTGCTAAGCTTTTTACATTTTCATATCGGCGTAGCTTTTAGTATCAGTGACTTCTTACCTTCTAACCTCAGCATTAACATTACCTTATCAGCAGGGCTTGACTGAATCAGACCCGTACAGAAATAAATAGCAGACAGAATGTTCCAAGGGAATGTAACGTTTAAAAGCATGGGAAAGAGACTAAAGGTAACAGATGAAAGTAATTTATTGAAAAAAATAGTCATAACATAGAGTCATATTTTTGTAACATTTTTCCTGTTTGTTATCATGAATGCATTAACACTTTTTAACTGAGATTATTATTACGATCGTGACGTTGAATCACAAATTCCATGAGTGGCATTAAAATATTCTATCTTGAAGACGCAACGTGTGTAGTCCTAAAGCTTAGTTAATTCAGAAAAAACAAATATGGCTGAAGAAACAAACAATACACACAGATTCACAATATATTTATCAATATAATATATGACAATTAATTTGCAACATTAAGAATAAACTTAACATAATTGCTAGATCTCAATAGAGACACGCTCATAACAAAGGTGACACAACCAACACTAAATTCAGCAATTGTAAAACAAATTACATTTTCTCTCATTGTAACTCATTTTTTTATGGAATTTATTGTATAAATAAATAGGTTATGGGTTGGAGAAATGCTTTTCCACTAGTTGGACCACAATGACAGTTCGCTGTTTTAACTACAAAAATAAATGTTTCTATGGCGATAGCAATGTTCACGCAAACGAGTCATGTGCATTTTTCTGATCTCAATATGTGCATAAACGCCTTTTAACAACTTTTTTGTACAGAAAAATCAATTTATAATTAATTGTAATGTTACTGTATTCTAATAATGTCACTTCGTATCGAAATTATATTCCTTCCTACAGGCACCAGTTTCATGTGTATTTGATGATCATTTAAAATTGAGAAACCAACAGTTCCAGTATTTTTTTTTCTGTTGTAGCAGTTTTTTTATTTTAATGTTTAAATGTAGATTATAACCTGACAACACTGGTTTGTTTCGTTGTATTTGAAAGGATTTGGATTCTATTCTTGTGGTTATTTTTAATCAATTTCCTTTCCACGAAGCATTACAGAAGCAATTCAAATTTTAAATGTTTGCTTGACATGTGTTGTATGTCCAAAATGAGTCAAAACATTGAAATTTCATTAACTTTATTCATATTCCCCTCGAGGGGATTTCAAGGGTAAATATGCTTTGAGCATTTTCCAACAGAAATGTGTAAGATCAACCTCTGTTTGAATAAAGCCGTGTTGAATATTCATGTTATCCATCGAATGAAACAGGAAATCGCTCAGAACGACAAGGAACTATAACAAAGAGAAAAGTGAATAATACGGCCCAGGACCTGTCAGGGCAACAATTTAACTTCACACGTGAGCGTCCTGACCACTTGTCCGAATTACCGCTACTATTACGCTTGATTAATGACTAACAATTCCAGAAACTTCGTTTCTGTAATTGTTGTCGCGTTACTTATGGAAAAAAAAAAGTTAACTGGATTTCAGGAACTAACCACAGCTGTGTGAAGTGGTTACGGCCCTAACGAAGCTGACTGTGCAAATCTTGAGAGGTCTGCTCTCTTGTCATTGGATTTTGAGGCAAAAAGGACACAAGAAGCAGTTAACTTTTTATATTCTCGGTATTACGCGCGTTTGGAAGGACTAAATATGTTGTAATCCATCAGCGTAGTTTTCAGTATTTCCGTGTATGCAGAAGGTAGAGGTTTCGTATACACAATATATTTTTATCCTCAAAGATACTTCCTACAGTGACATGTTTCGTGGATTCTAAACATGACACCTTATTAAATAATCTGTATATATTTTAATAATCACAATAGGGTGCATAACATGGATATTGATAATCTGCTCCTGTCTATTATTTAATGTTTTTTCCCATTGTTGTTCAACTAGGTCGTGACACTTTTGTATTATTTGAGGTTTTCACAGCGGTGAGTATGAAGAATTCTGTCTTCTGGGTTGTTGCTCTGTGTAGTCTGGTCGATGTTTACCAACGTTTCAGAGGTCATACTGCCTCCGTCATCGCATAGACGGAGGCAGTATGACCTCTGAAACGTTGGTTAACATCGACACAGCGCAACTACCCAGAAGACAGAAATCTTCAAGACACCTTTGGTTTTTTAGGTAACGCAAAACGTAATTGAGTTCTAAGGGATCGTGTGCCATTGTTGCACGCTGTGGGAATTTCGTTTCTTTCGAAGCCGCAACGGGACATACTTGACAGTTTCTTAAGCGTTTTCAACCAACTTCTCGTTAAAGCAATGAAGCTAATCGATTTAGCAAATAGAAACTTTTGAGAAGAAGGGAGTGAGGGAGACACGAAACGTAATGAAATGAAAAGGGAGAGAGGAAATGTGAAGAAAATCGTTTAGGAAGTTGACGTTTTTTCTTTCCTGTTGAAGTGTCAGATACACTTGGCTACTGGACATGTGTTTCTTTTCTTTTCAAAAGCCAGTATTCGCGTCAGCGTACTTGAAAGACTTCAACTTTGCTTCTATCCTTTTCTCTCATGTATGACGAAATTACGTATTAATGATTTCTAACACGTGTGACATGTTCTCATCAAAAGAGTTGGGCGTAGGAAAAAGATGTCTTTGAAGTAAGGAATATCTAATTTTAAAACATATTGTTTATTTTAAACATAAATAAAAGACATTTGTTTGAAGTGTGGAAATGTTGATGAAAGTGGTGAGATGTGGTATGAGGTAGTCAGTCTAGAAGAAGCCGCCGTAACTAGGACCCGATGAGAAACTGCCATAGTGCGGTACACCACCTGCAACAAACAATTTCATTGTTTACTGCACAACAATGCCATTCTAATAGTAGCAGTGCTTCCGTCCAACTCCAAAACCTTGCTAACGCCAGGACTTTTCAGTACTTTTCAAACTCCATCTATTAAGGAATATACTTTTTTGGCTGGCTGGTTGGTTGTTAAGGTATTTAACCAGTGTAGAAGTTTAAACTACTGCGAATTATCTAAATGAGAAGATTTATCGTACATAGAATATTATGAATTATGGGAGACATCTTGATCTACTTTAGAATTACGGATGTAAGACTGAGGGGAAACCACAGAAACACTCAAAGAGTTCTCCAAAGACGACACATCTGCTTAGGAAATGTGAAAAACTTGAGTAAAGTTCACACTTTCTTTCAAAAAATATAAAAATACATAATACCAGGGAAAGCGTACATTTATAGCGTAATATGACGATGTTTTACAAATTTTAATTCTAAGTAGTAGTATTCATCTTCTGTGTTCTTAGCCCCCATAACCTAAAAAAAGGGGTAGAATTTTTTTATGTCGTGTTGAACCTAATTTAATCGTATAAGCTTCTTTATGATTTCCAACTTGGGGCAAACTCATAAACTTTCTTCGTCTGTCACGCTCTGAATGATGGTCTATGTTAATCCATTCCTGGAAACAGCACCGAAGGATTTATACGACAGACACTCTAGTTTATGAAATAAGCTCACTAAACTTCTGATTTATTCCCCACGGCATACAAACGAGTTTTGATAAGTGGTCATGTCCCTAACACTGAAAAGTTTCTGAGTTGCACCAAACGACATTAATTAACTTCCAAGTTATATAACCATACTTTACCAACGTTCGACGTTACGTAGCTTGGACACATTATGAATTGTGAGGAATTAACCATTTGAAGCCCAGCGGTAAATATATATACCAGTACCACCTGTTTTAATAACAAATAATTCTGCATTTTACCCACAAATGGTACTCCTATTTATGGTTGTCATATGAGATTTTTCAGTCGTCGCCCTGATTATGGAGGCAGCAAGCACCTCTGAAACGTCGGTAAACTTCTATCAGACTACACGGCACAACAACCCAGAAGACATCTTCCTGTCACAGTGAATAGTTCACAATTAGTCAGACGCTACCTGGAATTGCTGTGGTCGCACCCGAAGCGGGAGGGGGGGGGTGTTTCCACCAGAACTACTGTCCGACGTGAAGCCATTGCATGTTAATTGGGACAATGACAGATGCAATTGTCTGTAATTGACAGAAGCAATACTGGAAGGGCCTCGAGAAGATATGCTTTAGTATCAGTAATTGAATGGTACAACCACAACATTACACACTGATGTTGTCTCGGTTGTGGAAGGGGGCGTTCGTGATTCAGTTCTTGGTGAGATCCCAGAATTTTCTTGCAAGAACTTAGAGACCCCCCACGAAAAGTTGATTTAGTTCACTCAGCCTTCGGTAGAGAATCAAATGATAGGCCAGGCGTGGTATCCATTGCACCTCAAATTTCGAAAGAAATATAAATACTCAATGTACTATTAATACGATCGAAATTGATAGCATAGTTTTTTTTAAAAAAATTGTATTAATACAATTTAGCTTTGTCCCAGAATATTCTTCCCCCTTCTACGAAGTAGCAGTCTTTATTTGCTAATGGCGTGTACCTATACACATAACCTAACTTCCTGCTTTTTTCGTAATTTATTTACGTGCAATTATTGCCGATGGTTTTTGATTCTCATAGCTCACAGGTGAATCAATATTGAATTAATGCAGCAGCAGTGCTACATCCAAATGTTGCTTCAGAGCACATCATTTGCATACGTCGTCTCCTGCATGCCTCTGTTTGCTAAATGTATTTCCTCAGGCGAACACTTTCGTATCCCCAGGCCACAAGATGGTCATGCAAACATGACAGACAGTTTCCACGGACAAACACCACGCACACCGAGTAATAAAATAATAATGACTCTTTTCAAATTTTCACACTCGACAGATCTCTGTAAAAATAATGCATACTTTTGTGTACATGTCTATCTGCTCTAATACGAAAGGAATGTTTGTGGATTCTGTGGGCTGGTTACCTAGCAACGAATTTACGAGTAACGTAGCAACGTGTTTCGCTGCGTCGAAATAATTCTGCAAAACTAATATGAACGTACAATAGGTCACGATGTGTTAAAAGTGTTTTGCTTTGATACACTTTTATCATTCTGTGAGTGTTAACGTTTGGATGTGTACAGTCAGGATTCGACGTACAACGCAAATCAATTTTTTTTTTTTAAGATTTGGATAACACGTAGAAAATATTAGTAAATTCGTGCTTAATCTGTACACATTTCAGAAATCACTAGAATTCTTATATCTCGCGTAGAAACATCTCCATTTATTGTGGAAAGGTGACACCCGACAAGCCACTGAAGTACCCCACGTTAAAATGTATCTCGTAGTTGAAAAGACAGCTTCTGTTAAGGCGTCTTTGGCCTGGCATTTTCTAAGTTATATGAAAATCTGTTCGTACGTCATCTGTTAAGCAAAACATAATAAATATATTCGTCACATAGCCAGGAGTAGAAAATATACCGGAATATATAGACTATAAAGATGAAAAATGTATTAATATTTTCAGTTTTCCCTTTACCTCAACTAGATTCTCTCGTAGAATAGGTCTGCACATGTCTATTTCACAGTTTAGGTCTAAACCTTTTCAAGGAGATATGTAGATTCATCTCATCTCATACGATATTAAAAAATAATTTGACTCGTACTACTTTAGGTTTGAGGAGCTCTGATTTCCTGACATACAAGTTGAGATGAGACCTTGGACCTTGTACTTAGACGCTTCTGCGTGCATGTGTAGGGCTTTAAAGTCTGAGTGTGTGTGAAGATACGTACAGTTCTAGCGAATGTTGCAGTTAAGGAAGGTGGCTCAAGAAGTGTGATTGCAAATTTACATGTTAAACAGCCCTCAGGAGCTACTATGAGACTCCCTGTTACTTTTGTGTTTATTGCGTCAGGTAATAAAGGAGACGATTCGAGTGCGCGGTTCTTCGTGTCCCGCGTCGTAAAATCTCGTAACAGCCGTTAAGATAAAGCTGCCGCGAGAAGAGGTTAGTTCGCAAACATCCATTCTCCCCGATTATTAATTTGAATTACAGTTTAGCTAACCGACGTGTTCAGATAATTTAAACCTGAGTACTTTTACGGAGACGTTATGATCTGTTGTTTCTTTGTGAACACAGAGTTCCTTAAAGTTCTTAGAGCCTGCGCAAGCCACCAAGATTATTCACATCCGTCTCACGCGTTCTGCACAATAAAAGTGTCCGATGATGTTTTTATTCTGTGTTGTGACGCCATATTGACTCTTAGGTAGATAACTAACGTGACACAGGTATTCAAAAGTTGGTCCCACGGTATGACAAATGTCTCAATTCCGGTGGCGAATATGTTGAAAAATAGCTGGACACTTGCTGTATCTGTTGCAATAAATATTTCCATGAAATTGTGTTTTGTTTCTGTAAACGGCCCCTGGGAAACTTACTTTTGGGACGCGCCTCGTATTATCCGCCGTGAGAAGGATATATTGAATTTGATCTGAGGGAAAATACGATTGGAGGGTGTGGATTGAATTTATCTGGCTCAAAATATGAACCGATGGCAGGCTCTTGTAAATACGACAGTTCGGTTTCCATAGGACGGGGGAATTTGTTATTATCTGTCCGAATCTTAGCTTCTCAATAAGGACTCTGCTTCATGGAGTTGGTTAATTCGGTCTGATATAAGGCGTAATATTAGGCCAACATTCATACATATCAAAACCTAACTGACATTTTTTAACTTCTTAAATTTTTGTACTGTGTCACTCGGGTCGATAAACTTACGGTTACCCACACCTAGACGTAATGTCGTTAAGGTGTTATAATAGGGCAGTAGACATTTGCAGTAATTCACCAGAGTACGACATTGTGAAGTTCCATGGAATTTTACGTTATTGTCATTTATGTTTATAGATTTTTGCGGGCTTATAGAATAATTAGCCCGTAACACCACATCACCAGCACGCAAAATTATGAACCCTGGAACTAGCTGATAGTTAGGAGAATGGTGGGTCCCTCTATTCTGCATGTGAATCCAAAATTTCAATTTATATTTCGTTTTCAAACTGCGTATGCAAAGAGAATACATTATTGATAGGCTGAAGTAATATAAGCGTGTGTTTAAGTCCACTCCTATCACGTGTAATCTCATGCCTTCATATTAAACTGCATGTATGTAACATCTACCACATATTCTAGCCGAAATGCAATGGAAAGCCAGAAATATTGGAACAGAGCGGAAAGCGAGAATTTCGATGGTGGCCACTGGTCAGTAACTTTCGGGGCTCTGTTCTGCACTTGAAGTGAACTGGGAAAGTTAAATTGAAAGCCTAGTCCTGAGACTGATATCGGGATGGTTGAATTAGACTCGAGTTCCGTGCAAATTCAACCGCGCACCGCAACTCTGTTCGTGATAATACTAAAACCTGTGGATCTCAAGCAGACTGGAACGATCCGGAGCGCTATTCTGCAGTCACAGCTCACGTATTGCAACCAACCACAGCTTTTTTTTTTCAACTGCAGAATGTCCCCAATTGCCGAAGACGATTAATGTGGCAAGGAACAGAATTAATAGTCCCCGGAGGTCACCTCATTGCGACAAGCCATTAGTCAAAACTGATGCATCGCCTGTTTATCCTTCCGAAAATGACGCCTTTGAGAACCTGATTCAAATCTCAGTACCGAGTTTGTTACACGGAAATTATGTTGAACATTTCCCCATTTTTCTTAGGTAGTTTATATTTAAGGTGATAAATATCTTGATAATTAAGCTAAGTATATGGAGCTGATAAATCGCTCAGATTATCGAAACATAGCTCGCCTTTTAACGAATTCAGAATTTTATTACCGCATTCACGAGATCCTATATTTGACCCTACGCTGAAGACACATAATTCAGCCCACATCTTCACACACTTATGGCAGGTCCTATAGGGTTTTGAGGAGGGAAAGATTTCTCAAAAGTTTTTTAAGACCTAGCACCATACTCAACTCTCCTTATCAACTCGCGGAGTTATAAATAAGAGAAATTTATTGGGCCTTTATGACAATTTGTTCAAAAACGCTACTAACTCACGACTGCAAACAGAAACACATATTCATGAAAACCTTTCTTAAACAAACTTGATTTATTATATGTATTAATAATCCGAAGAAAATATGGTATTTAATTCAGGGGCAAATTGTGCAATATTACAAAAATTAATGTCGGCTTCGCAAAATACATCGACGGACAGCTGGTCGAGACTATCAGAGAAAAGAATTCGTTCAGAACAGTTGTTCCACTGTTGCAGGCAAGGCCTGCACTGCCATATTCGCGGATGGCAGTTAGTGAGAGTGACCGGCAGGTGGGGTCCATCGTATCACGGGCTTGCACCAGCCCCTGCAGTACCACCACGCAACGAATTAGCAATAATCCCTACGGCTGGAAGTCCCAAAGCGCTTGGGGAAGCGCTGGCACTTCCCATCAAGTGCAGCGGAGTGAGTTGACGTTCCTGCCCCCTTCCCCCCACCCAACTAATCACCCCTTCTATTTCTACCGGCAAATTAGTCAAATTAAGCACTGCAAACCATGATGATGGAGCGGGATATTGGGCCGTGGTAATCCTGTTCCCTGTAGTGCGTCACGATAGGAATTTTAAGCGTGACAGTTTACGGTTTTTGCAAAAACTTTTTAGCTTTTCCGTCATTTTCAACCTGCCCTCCGCCTTTCGCGTTCGCCGAAGACAAAACATGGATCCAGTGTAATGTTTGGTATTTTTGCGACTGCAATCAAACAGAGCGGACATCAATTAATAAATGCTTTTATTTTTTTCGATAAAAAATGTGGACAGTTTGCGTTATCTGGGCGTATCGTATTTGACGGAAAAAATATTAAATGTTGGCGTTCGTAATATTTTGTTTTCTTCGATGTTGCAGCGTGAAGAAAGTGTGACAGTACTTGGCGCTGTCAAAAGAAATGTAAGTGAATATTTCCCTGCTAGTTAGAAACTTGGTTCATGTGATGCGGGATTACAGTAGCGCAACGGCAAGGTGTTAATTGGCTTTTTAATTAGTCTACGTACGAAAGATTAACATACAGCTGTTCCAAGAAAATGTACACACAGCAGCAACGTTTCTCACCGCTGTCAATTGTGAGGGTGGTCATTCTGAGTCTGTATGAAACACGAAAGAGTTTGCCTAGCTGAGCGACTGTCAACTTTTCAAAGAAATCCCTGCATTATTGGAGTCAGTCATACGCATTCTATTTATATATGCTAGTCTAATTTCGTACATCACTATGATTTTATTAATAATTCCTTCAAATTAATGAGGTACTGATTTTTACTTAATTGATTTTCTCGTAACTAATTTGGTGTGTCCCTGCCACCACGGCATGGCTCGTCCTCAAGTTGCGATTGAAGGAACAGACTCCAGTTATGAAGGTTAGCTGCGAATATATTTAAAAAGCAGTCGCGGACAGACGCCGAGGGGTGGCCTTCTAACTTGGGGGCTGGGCGTGAGGCTAACAACCTTTCACCGTAAAAAAACTGTGTTTTTACGAAACATTATACCAAGCCTCGGAACGGGAAGGAATAATTTTAAAGCCCAGGACATGGACCGGTGGAGGGCACTGGTTAATTCGGTGATGAAAATTCGGGTTTTGTAAGTCATTTAGTTAGTTACTTAAGTGCTTTAAAGAATGGCGCCTCTTTCCAGAAAGGAGTAGTTTGCGTGTCTGTGCCCCCAGCAGATGAGAACATTAACTGCAAACTGACTCGACCCCTTGTAGTTGCGGAGTGAGGGTTGCTGTTCTTCAGGGGCCACAAAACTTTATTCCAGAAATGAGCTTTGTTTGTAATTACGAAATTCAAGTGTTGCCAACTCACTGTCTACCACTTGCCCTACACAGAGATCTGGACAGTCTGAACACCAGACCGCTCGCATTTGTCACGTAAACCGAATTCAAATTATGACGAATCTGGTGGAGGCATTCAACCTGGAATGTCGGAACACTTTTCCAGGCTTCGAACCACTTCTTTCTAACATGCATTTTAAAATGTTAATGCCATTTTTCTGACTACTTTCTTTCATTACCTGTTTGTGACAATTTGGACAATTTAACTGCATTCCTCGTTATTTCTCTTTGGAATTTAATGTTTTATGGCACTAATAATAGTTTTAACAGGCGTGCTGATATACAAGAACTTCCTGAGATTGAAGATATTTTTGAACGTTCCAATAATTTACCATTCCCAGTGATCTTGACGATTTCCTTATCTTATCACAGCAGCGAAGATTTCGATGTTATTCTGGGTTGCTAACTCCGTGGGGGCTTGAAGTGGATGCTAAGTTTTCGGAGAAATCCTGTCTCCACCTTTAGGGCTAAAGCACGTTTCTCCAAAACGTATCTACGTACAAGTCAACACAACCCAGAACAATATATTTATAGCATACTTTTCAGTAAATATCTTAAACTCTTTTTTTAAACTTGCTCGTATCTCTTTTGCTGTGTAATAGGCATCAATTTACATCATGGGATTCATTCCTTAATAATGATAATAGTAATAATAATAATTTATATATAATTGTCAGCAGCAAATACATCTAAATGGTTCATTGACTGCCATTCTGGTTAGATCACGTCTGACGGAGCCTGACATACAGAAAGAAATAACGTAGATTACATTAACGCGATATCAAATTATCTATCGAAAGAAAGGTATGCTGCTAGGCGTTTTACTGTGGATAATCACGGACTGTGTTTTTACGAGAGGCTCGTACTCAATAGTACGCCGATTACTCTGTCTAAGCCAATTTGTTTCTACCATAACAAAAAATCTACTTTCACGTGGCCAATGTATTGTGAGTTCCTCTTTTTGTTATGGGGAAAGCACTAATATGTCGTACAAGATTAAACGTGTTTGTATGTACACCAAGACACTTATTTATAGTAGCATAATATGAGCTGCATTAAAGTCTTCTGTGGCACTCGACTTTATAGTAGCATAATATGAGCTGCATTAGACTCTTCTGTGGCACTCGACCGTACAGGCAATCAAATTTTTATCGCCAGACATTCATTTTACCAATAAGTCTCTCAGTAATTGTTGTGCCCTATTTGTGACTCACAACATTTGCTCTTATTTCCAAAACTACCAGTGCAGTAAATTTCTACCAGATTACTCAGCGCAAGAATTTAGAAAATAGTCATGTTCATTTTACGATATGTTAGACAGGACCTCAGACTTGAGCGAATTATTTCACGCAGTCCAGGGAAGATAATTATGTGTAACTTGTCAGATCAATACAAGAGCGATTATTCATGTATTTAGCCACTATCCGAAGCCCGCATGTTGTTATACACACGTGAGTAACACGTGCAGAGAGGAATGACTTCGTCCCTTGTCTAAACCAACCATGTTTTATACTCAAAAGCAGTGACCGAATTTTATCAGCTTGTTTTATTAGAGAGTGTGCCGTGGGTGTGTTATTCTAATTGCGAGGGGCTGTGTTTGCGCGCTGGCAAACGAGCCTCCGTTATCATAACAGTTGCTGGTTCTGTAATTATCAACGCTTACCAATTGAGTTTCGGGGAGGAACGAAACCATAGCCGGAAGCTCCTACGATGACACCACTTGTTTCATCACCGGCCGGTGAATTTGGGAAGAGGACAGGCCCTAGAAGTGAATGAGAGATGGTTAATTATCACTGTCAGTGCAAGGAGTCTACTAATGAAGCCAACACTTTCTCGTCTGCACAGAACAAAGTTTGGTATGTCTGAATGCTTCATTCACGACACAGCACGTTAATTAACATCGCGTGTATTGAAGACAGAGAAACTAGATGTTTCGGTATTAATATGAACAGAGCTTTGATGATTCTACGATCTGGTTCACCTGCTTCCAGGACTGAATACTGTCAGAGGTTAATGAACAGACATATTTTTACAAAACTTTTGAACTTTTCTTTTGGACTCTAGCATTTTTGTAGGTCCCAGCGTAAGTAACTTCAACACTGCTATACTGGTTTTTTATGCTGTTATTAGAATGTCTTCAGATTATTCGCACTGTGGCAGAGTTTAAACATTTGGGATTAAAATATAGAAAACTGAAATGTTACCTGTTGTTTTATATGGATCAGAAGCCTGGACCTCATTCTGTTGGAAAAATACAGACTGAGGGTCTTTGAGAAGAGGTTGCTGAAGAAAACATCTAAACTTAAGATAGATCAAGTAATAGACATGATGAAAAAGTTACACAATGAGGAGATTCACAGTTTGTATTTTTTGGGCAAACATTTATAATGACGATACAATCAAGGTTGGTGAAACGGGCGGGACCTGAGAAATGCTTGCAAAATTTTTGTCGGAATACCTGTAAGGAAGGAAGTAAGTGATAGACCAAGGAGTTGATGGGAGGATAATATTAAAATATGTGTAATGAAAATAGTGGTAGATGATGTGGACTGTATTAAGCAAACACAGGATAGGGTCCAGTGTCATGTCTTTTTTAACACAGTAATGAACTTTTGGGCTTTACACAAAGCGGGAAACAGTCTTCACCAGCTGATCTCCTGTTCTAACGAGCACTCCACTCCACGAAGTCAGATTTTTGTATGAACAGGTTGTTTTTTAATTCTCTAGTCTTCTTATTTTTTTCAAGTTTTACCAGAATAGTGCCCCAACGGTCATCTCAGATCAGCATTATTTTACAAGCATTAGACTAATTTGATTAAATATAAAGCATTATCATTAAATAATTAAGAATACCAGCCTATTCTATAACAGCATACGTCCTAGTACTCCTGTCATACACCGAACAACAATGGATTCGTCCCAGGGACCACTAAACAGACATACATACCGGTATTATCATTACCTCCGCTAGGGGTGCTGGGGATGGATGGCCCGCTGCCGGGGTTGGGGCCGCTAAAGAAATGGTCATAGTCATCCTGAGAAACGGCTACACCAACCGCGACGGCCAAGCAAACCAAAACCTGTAACCAAGGTAAAGGTTGAAGTCGAAGCAATGAATGGAAGGCACAGACAATCGGAATTATGCCCTGACTTGAGTTCCTTTGACAAGATCCGGGGACACAAAACATTCTTTGTTAGCAACTTTAATTGAATGTTCATTCACTGAATGTGTGTTCGCGTCTTTTTCTGGGACATTCTGTATGTTGATCATTTTAATTGTTAGTAACGTGGCATTTCGTCCATAGAATGCATTGCGTTTTTATGGCAGTGATTATCGAAACTTCTTTCAACCAAAACACAGCGACTCCATTCTTGCTTCTTAAGATCTATATAAACATTTGATCATTTTAATTGTTAGTAACGTGGCATTTCGTCCATAGAATGCATTGCGTTTTTATGGCAGTGATTATCGAAACTTCTTTCAACCAAAACACAGCGACTCCATTCTTGCTTCTTAAAATCTAACTACACAGCGCCATGCACAGGAAACAACAATCAAGCTGTTCAACTTCGTTTCTTAGTAACATTTCTCTAAGAGTTTGAAGTTCATTTCCGGTTTTTAAGCCACGTAAGGACTCCCAAATAAGTTCAACTTCGTTTCTTAGTAAGAATTCTCTAAGAGTTTAAAGTTCATTTCCGGTTTTTAAGCCACGTAAGGACTCCCAAATAAGTCCAACTTCGTTTCTTAGTAAGAATTCTCTAAGAGTTTAAAGTTCATTTCCGGTTTTTAAGCCACGTAAGGACTCCCAAATAAGTTCAACTTCGTTTCTTAGTAAGAATTCTCTAAGAGTTTAAAGTTCATTTCCGGTTTTTAAGCCACGTAAGGACTCCCAAATAAGTTCAAGTTCGTTTCTTTGTAACGCGAGTTCAGTTGCTGGCTACTACCGCTTGAACTCCTTCGCTCTGTGTAACACGACTCGTTTGTTTGCTGGCCTTGCCAGCAGCCATTGTCCTTCAAGACACGGGCATTAAGTCGGTCACAGCTGGGAGTTACGCAAGAAAATACCCAGCCACGTGTGCTGCATTCCTTCCTACAGAAATACGCCCCAGGTTAACTATATCCTTCTCTGAGTAGACGGATCTAGAGTATTCAACTTCGTCAAGATGACAATGAAGTCAAAAAACAAGATTGTATCTGTAAGTACTCTGTGTTGCTGACGAACTACAACTGGAATGAACGTAAATTCCTACTTGTGAGTAGGGCGTGGAATTGATAAAAATGGCCTACGAGTTCAAGTAGTGGACTGTGAAGACGACAATGAACGTTTGAGATCTTTTAAAACCGGGATCTCTTAATTGTTTTTTTACCTTTTAACGTCTTCGAAATTGTGAATTTTTTTCTTCTTAAATTTTTGTACTTTATAAAGGATTCAGAAATGTGGCAAAGGGCGACTGATAGAACAGGCCTTTCATACAAGGGACATAGCATTGCCCCAGGGATCCGCTCATACGGAGATTCGGTGAAGACTACGTGATAAGAATTAATTTTCTTCATTCAAAAGTTTCGTATCGCCAGAAGCTGTTTCTGCTTTTAAACTTGAGAATGCTCTTGTTTCGTCGCTTACACATGTGTGATCACGTTCCAGATTGTCACTTCCTTTTCATAAATCCGACGAAAATTTAATAAGCACCTGACGTTTCAGATCCTTGTGGCGGTATAGATGTTGACTGCGGTCTTCTGTGTTGTGACTGTCATACCTCAAGGGTGGTTACCAATGTTTTGGAAGAACGTATCGCCTCTATCTTCTGAGTTGAAGTCTTAACTTCACAACCATACCCAGAAAACGACAATCGAATACTGAAATACTTTTACCGATGTTACACGGGCAGTGTGGCCAGAATGTTTATCCGTTTGTAAGAAACTGGACAAGTCCATGATTAAAAGCACGTTTAATCGTTTCAAAGTAACTTGCTGTTCACTCACTGAACGCGGCAGGGAAAGTGTTGAACTAGCAGTCGCCATGGTAACGTTGTTAATGTGGATCACGTTTCTTTGTTGTATTTCCCTTCCCACATATGACGTCAAGTTGAAGTATGTCCATATTTTTACATTTCTTACTTCAGTAAGGAGCAAAAGAATTTTCATTCCAAAGTTTGCTTCTAACACAATGATTTTGCGTTCCAATACAGGTGGGGGCATTTTCCTAACGTCAACTTACCCGTTTGACATATGGATATTGGGTCCGTATGTGTTCTATTCCATGCGAAAGTGTCCTATAAGCATGATAGCTCAGTCAACAAAGTGATTAACTCTTTCCTGGTAGTTAGAGCGGACGGAGTGCGATATTAAACACCCACTTCAGCTATAATGCATGTCTCCTTGCAGTCTGCCACCTCATATTAAGATAAATAACTCTTTTGTGGAAATATTTTTTCGAACGAATAATAATTCATGACGACTTATCCTACATTTGGTGCGTCAGTTATGATTACTTCCACGAATAATAATTCATGACGACTTATCCCACATTTGGAGCGTCAGCTATGATTACTTCTGCGCACTTAGAAATTAGGTCCACTTTAGATCATGCCTCATTTCATGCCACTAGTCGGTTATGAAAAGTAATGCTGTTTACAGAGCACTAAGACTTCATGAATTTTGAGGTTCTCACTGAGGTGAGGAAGACGATGTTATCCTTATTGGTTATACCACCGTGTGCGCTTGCAGGCAGGTACAGCACTGTAATAAAACTTTACTTTCTACATTTTCGCATCTTCTACCAGAACCATGTAAACACTCTAAAACTTGAAACGTCACCACTGCGTCTTAATGTTTCTCATCCTGTGTGCAAACACAAGCTAATTTCACCTATGTCCACCCGTCATACACCGTTTTATTAATATAACGTCCGATTATAGTACAATAAATAATTTTGTTAATGTTCCCGGAAAGTCTGTGTAATTGTTATAATTGAAACAGAACAGGATGCTACAAAACTAGATCCTCAAAACGTGTTCTTTCCTTAGGATGAGGGACCAAATTTCACACAGTACAAAACAACAGATAAATTTGCGTTTCTGTCTTAAGATTTAGACAGGAGACGGTAATAACTAAAAAAGTTGACACATTCTCACTTTACAATTTTATATTATTTATTGTTCATATTTATCTGTTTCTGACACACCACACATCACTAATATATCTTGGTAGTATCTGCTCCTACAGTACGCAATGCTCAGTAACAACATTCTTGACACTCAGACTTCATTTAACATTCCACAACACATGTCACAGTAAATAATATTCCACTGCTCTCCTATAGACGTCCTTTTCTTCGATCGGAACGATTTCTATTATCCATATTTCCTTTTCCGAAACAGAAAACTACTCTCGCATTGTAAAAACTAATTGCTACTAATTATATCCATGTAGCCAGGAAACCATGAATTTATTTTGTGATCTTATCAAAACTACTTGCAATTTGTGGTTATAAAACATATTGTGCTGTAGACTGAACGTTCACACATTCCACTTTTTCACGATTACAAATACTTCCCTTGTACAAAATACCTTAAGTAATAAATGAAGCATGGGATCCATTACTGTTGAGTCACAATGAAATAGCACACACTTCTCAAGAAACCGCGTGGTACTGACTCCGAGAACAGAAATGTACTCAGTTATATTACCGCATGCCCATACAGGAACCCATTGAATGATTCTGATCTCATTGGCAATCCTTCGTCTATTAGTTCACAAACCAGCATGAAAAGAGAAAAACGATACTCGTTGACTGCCCACATGTGAACAAAATACGTACTACTTGCGTCACTCAGAGCGCTTGTCATCTGTTTTGTAATAAAACTACGTCTGAAAGTCACTGAAACAGGCGAACATTTCAAGATGACGTAATTAGTTTTCTCCAATGCATGGCTGCAAACTCGTCATACAAATGTGGGGAGTCATATTTATCTTGAAACTAAGCTGGCGGGTTGTGACGCCATGTTGTCATTGAGGGTTTCGCGATAAATTGGACACGCTGCATTAGCGAAATGCTGCTCTCGGATTACGAAAGTCCAATTTAAGGTAAGAAAGCAAATCGGTGAAGAGCGCTGACCGTTTACAGAATCAGGTGTCCACCCGTACCGCACTGGTGCATGGCGAGTTGTATAAAGAGCAAGGATTCGCAATTTACAGTCAGCGAACTGAAACGCGAAGTGAAGTTAATCCTTTTATAAATATGTTGATGACGTTTGTTTCAGTAAAGCGATGAAACTGATCAACCATAAACACTGGATTTTAGTATCAGGTCACTGTTCCGAAGTGTGATAGAATTAATGCCTATTATTTATTCGGATACTCAAAAACCATATTATTGCAACTGTAACAAAGGATTGAGTGAAAAAAACACACTTTAGAATCAAAAAATTTGCAGAGAATCGAACACAGGCTCTTCATTTCATAACCGGCCAAAGAAAGTAATTTTAAATTTTAAATTAATGAATATAATTGTATATTTTTTCGTTTCAACATCCGGGCATACACTGTGGCCCACAGATTTAAGTAACTAACTCCATGAAGCAGAGTCCTTGTTGACAAGCTTGTGGTCAGTCACCCAGTTAGATAATTCAAATTTGAGGTATTTTATGACCGTGAAAATTTTGATTTTGGCCATCAGGGTTGCGAACCCGTGTAGTCTTTCAGGTGCTTATACTTAAGGTATTATCTGGGATGACCAATATTTAATAAATTACAAGAAACAATAATTTACAAAACCATAATATGATTCAAAATTGTATTAACAGACAGATTAATTTCGTGAAATGCTTGCTACCATGCAGTTAGGAATCTTTTGTCTTCCCGTCTGCTATCTGAGAACAAGGATTAAGATATAAAACCTGCAATTTCACCTATTGTTTTTTATGGTGTAAAAGTTGGTGTCTAACGTTGAGATGGGAACACAGATTGAAGATCTTTGAGAACGGCATACTGAGGAAAATATTTAGACCGAAGAATGGTGAAGTTAC